TATATATATATATATATATATATATATATATATATATATATATATATATATATATATATATATATATATATATATATATATATATATATATATATATATATATATATATATATATATATATATATATATATATATATATATATATATATATATATATATATATATATATATATATATATATATATATATATATATATATATATATATATATATATATATATATATATATATATATATATATATATATATATATATAATTTTCTTTTTGCTTTTTTTCCAGATAATATACAAGCTTCTAAATGTATATGAAAAAAAGATGTCCTATCAGCAAAGAGATGACATGAAATATATAGCAGCAAAACCAAGAAAACTGTAAAACTTCTAAATCAAAATTTTTCTAGCCCCTTCTATGCACCATCCCTCCCATCTTCCAACCCACATTTTCTGAGGCCTTCAGTAAGTACACAAAGATGAATCAAAACACAGATAAATAAATAATAAGCCAATTTAAAAAATTATAAACTAAATAATAAATAAGAAAAAAAAAATAAAAAAGTATAATAAATATTTGGGTAAATATGAAAGAAGAAAAGGTAAAGTAAATACTAAAAGTCTCTCTTTCTCCCTTTTGAAATTCTAGACAGCAGGTCCTGAAATGTTAAGGTTCTCAATGACGGACAGTATGGGACTTTGTTAAAGGAGTTCAGTGATCCTTTAAAACCATATATCAGTTTCTCAAGACAGATGCAATGTAGAACCTCTTTAATCCAGTGTTCAGGTGATAGAGGGGACACATGTTTCCCTTTGAGGAGAATTGCGCGCCTGGTGAATATATTTTTATATACACATTTGTAGTAAAATATGAAAACATTTTTGGCATTATGTTTGGCACTTGTCATTATGTATTACCTTTTTGTGTGTATATTTTGGAATATGCTATAATTCAATAAAATAACATTTGTTACAAAAATAAAGTAATACATAATGACAAGTGCCAGACATAATACCAAAAATTACCAACCAATTTATAATATTATAATACCAAATTATAATACCAACCAATTTCATATTTTACTAAAAATGTGTAGTGTGTGTGTCTATATATATATATATATATATATATATATATATATATATATATATATATATATATATATATATATATATATATATATATATATATATATATATATATATATATATATATATATATATATATATATATATATATATATATATATATATATATATATATATGTATTTATACACACACACACATATATACATATATACTCAGACAGTCTTGCACAAACACATACACATACACAGAAAAATAATGAGTGAAATACAAACACATGCACTAACATGCAAAAACAACACACAAACTCACAAGCACAAACACACAAAAAACTAACAAACAAATGCAAAAATCGACACACACGGCTTGTATTTGTGATTTGTGAGGACATTTCATAGGTTTCCATTGTTTTCACACTGTAACTTTGTTTACTATCACCATACACACTGTAAAAATGCTCGGTTTCACAAATTCTTCATATTGTCGCAACACAAAACGATTAAAAATCGTTATTACAAATTTAAGTGGATTGAACATAAACAATACAGTTGTCCCCAAAAAAACTTATGAATTGTGTTTTCAACTCATTTTAAAGTACAAGTGAAATGAAATCAAAACTAACCATATTGATTTTGTTTGCTCACACTGCTAGTTTTGTGGTGAACACTTATATCTGTGCATGCCACTAAGAAAAAAAACAATGTTTCGCCTTGTTATCTTTAATTGAAATCTGAAAATGCACTGTTTGTTTTCAGTTAAATTCCCTGATTAGGTCTGTCTGAGGTTTTGGGCATGGCTAACATACTTAACCACGCCCCTCCAACTGACAGCTTTAACATCAAGCATAAATGGTGAGGAGGAGGAGTCTGTTAGATTGTAATAACTCTCCCCAACCCCCTTTCCAGACCTTTACGAATGAAATGCCTACTTTACTACATCCAATCAGCTCGCAGCAGAAAAAAACAAGCCCCGCCCACTTTCTCATTTAATAATCCGTTTCTCTAGGAACTGGGTCACAATACGAGGAAAAAAATGGTCGCAGCTTCCGGTTCAAGCAGACTTTAAATAAGTTTAAACAAACTTAAACATAATTTAGACAAGCAGCAAAGGTAAAAAATCTTAAAAGTGCACCAACACAGCCCCTAAACCCAAATCTCATACTGTGAGACACTGTGCATTTTTACTTTCTGAAAAAAAAAAAACCTCATTCTTTATTATTTATAAGCCTGTTGAAAAATAATAAGTCACCTTCTTCTTGTAAAACCTATACACAGAGATGTATAGTAACTAAGTAGAACTACTTTACTACTGTACTTAAGTACTAAAAGGCTGTATCTGTACTCTACTGAAGTATTTTTTTTCTCCTACTTCCACTTTTACTTCAGTACATATTTTCGATGAGTTTAATACTTTTACTCGGATAGATTTTTTATGTGCTGCATTGTTACTCGTTACTAGGGGTGTCAAAATTATTGATATCGATTCAGTAATAGATCATAAGCGCAAATAATTAATCTCCTAAGCGCAATGTCGCAGTAGAATTCTATGGCGAAGGAGGTGAGGTCCAGTAAATAACGCTACGGAGAAATGCTGTAAAACTCCATCTTTACCTCTCTCTCTCTCACTTTGGACATTTGACCCGCTGGCTTGTTGGTGAGGTAACTTTTCCTCTCCTCTCGGCTGTTAAAGCGATACTTGTGGATCCTGACATGAGCGTGCCTGAGGTGCGAGTTTTCTCCACTGTGTCTATTATGGATTACCTGTGATAACCGAGTATTATGCGCATACAGACTGTAACCGAAGCTGTTCTTCCCGCCATCGGTGAACAGCGCTTTCATTTCTAAAGCCGATCGCAGCCCTTTCTGTTGAGCAGGTGAAGACAGTAACCAATCATAGGGGTGTAAGACCTCGCCTGTCAGGGCTCAAAAAGCAAGTGGGATAATATTGACATTAGTTTATTTGCTGTAAATGCTCATGCTGTCTTCTGTGCATGTGTTGGTGTTTTGTTTGATACATTCAGTTTTCTTTGAGCAGGTCAAATTAAAGGTACAGTTCATATATCTTACTGCTGTATTAAAGAACAAAATTGTATTACAAATAATATATAAATATAAATATATTTGTAGATTTTAATTTAAAAAAAAAAAATCGAGCATCGAGATATCGAATTGGACCAAATCGATGACATAATAATCGTAACCGAACCAAACTGTGAGACCAGTGTAGATTCACACTCGTTACAATTATAAACCTTTTTCTTGGCTGCTGCATGGAGGGTGCCACAGTGACCAGCGTCTTCTGGTAGAATGTTAAGAACTTCCGTTTACAACTGATAATTTGCAACCCCCAAAAATGGGTTTCAATAGCGCTTTGAGTGGATTACGGAGTGTTTTTGTGAAACACAACTTTGAAAGGTGTGTGTTAAAGCTGTCATAATCTGTCAGATCTGTGGTTTAAGCGTGAGAGAAAAACAGTATCGTAAGCCATGTTTCTTTTCGTTCTGCTTAATCACGTGCCCAAAATAGATGTTTAAAACAAACAAAACAATATGATGTCTTTTGACTGCTTTCTTTAATAACTACATTACACAATACTTGTCTATTTACTTTCAGCACTCGAGTAGAACATTTTGAAATAAACTACTTGCATTACTCAAATACTAAAAATGTTGAATACTTTAGTGCTTCCACTTAAGTATGGTGCTTAAAGAGCACTTCAACTTCCACTCAAGTCACTTTTTGATACAGCACTTGTACTTTTACTTAAGTCTGGGTTTCTAGTACTTTATACATCCCTGGTCATACCCATGTCACTCTATACATGTTTGTGTCCTGATATGTCGCACACACTCACATGCACGAACACATGACTCAATCAATCGCCCTAATCCAGCAAAGCACTCTGCAGCCTCTGTGGTCTCGATGAGCCCCCGAGGGCCCAAACAAAAACTAGCCAATCAAAAACCATCTCCCCCTTCAGCAGAAGCAGATGACAGGCGACCCGCACCGGAAAAACGCCTCAGTGTGTTTATTTATGCAGATCTAGACTTCTGTTGGCCATCATGAAAGAGTGGAGCTGAATACATGCTCAGTGTGGAACATTCAATGATTTTCCACACTCAAATAACACGCTGTCACACACTTCAGCATATTTTTTTTACGAGATAGATACTAGTATTCAGTTTAAAGTGACATTTAAAGGCTTAATAGGTTAATTAGGCAGGTTAGGGTAATTAGGCAAGTCGTTGTATAACAGTGTTTTGTTCTGTAGACAATTGAAAACAAATATTACTATAATATTGACCTTAAAATGGTTTTAAAAAAATTAAAACTGCTTTTATTTCAGCTGAAATAAAACAAATAAAACTTTCTCCAGAGGAAAAAAATATTATAGGAAATTTTGACCATGAAAATAAATCAGTAGAGTAAAAAAAAAAGAAAGAAATACACAAAAAAAAGAGCATAAACTGTTATTTGAGGGACTTGTGTCAATCAGAGACACTCTTCATCTTGTCTTTCTGCAGGACGGAAGAGCCTTCGCCGGACGACGAGAAGCGGAGGTTAGCCAGAGCTGTATAATTATGAATATGATAATGATGTGCATGTGGACAGTGAAAATGATGATAACGAGGAGCTGAATGTGTTTTGAGCAGGAACTACGGTGGAGTGTATGTGGGTCTTCCTGCTGATCTGACTGCAGTCGCTGCCAGTCAGTCCAAATCAACACGCAAAGGTGAACTACACATGCACAGATTAATAACAAAAGAGCAGCACGGATGGTGTACGCTGTGTTTGTTTTTGTTTTTTTGTGCTTTTTTATCAGCCTAAATGGTTATACAATAAGCTAAGTATCATAATTATAATAATTCAATATTTTAATGATATTATTTAAAGTTGAATCTAAAGTATATATATATATACCCATTTTTACTTAATAATTACATAATATATAACTTTTTTGTGTGTTGTGCTATAATTGAATAAATTATTTAATATTATAGTTATTATACAATTGAATACA